TTCCATCTACAAAAGCACAATACCTAGAGGTAGATCTCCTGTCATCAATACAGCCAACCCAATCAGCATCTATGTAAACTTCTATCATTACTATTATTTTTGAAAAGTATGTGTATGCTTGGACATCTCTTTAGGTAAGCAAGTATTCTCTCAACTGCAAGAAGGTGAGTGATTTTGGGGGAATGCATACACTGGCTAACAACAATGACCGCATAAAAAATGTCTATTCGTGTGAGGCAAAGATAAAGAAGTTTCCCAGCCAACCGTTGAAACTTAATCTTGTCTTCAAGGGGATCTCCACCTTTTGCACTTATCTTATGATTTTGTTCAATAAGTGTGTCAATAGGTTTAACACCTAGCTTCCTAGTTTCTTCCAAAAAATCAAGAACATACTTCCTTTGGGAGACAAAAATCCCATGTTTAGACCATGCTACCTCAATGCCCAAGAAATAACGTAGTTCTCCCAGGTCATTGACTTCAAATTCTTGGTGAAGCAGTTGCTTAAGAAGTCAATCTCACGAGTATCACTCCCTGTCACTACAATATCATCTACATATATAGCAAGTAGAGTCAAGGAGGAGTCCATTTTCTTAATGAAAAGGGTGTGATTTGATTGGGCTTGCACATAGCCAAAAATTTCAAGAACCAATCTAAATTTATCAAACCAGGCTCTCAGAAACTATTTCAATCCATATAATGCTTTATTCAGTCGACAAACCTTCTTCCTTGCTTCTGTACTATAGAACTTAGGAGGTGACTCCATGTACACCTCCTCTTGCAAATCACCATTAAGGAAAGAGTTTTTAACATCCATCTAAAACAGTGGCCATGAGAAATTTGCTGCAATAGACATTAAAACTCTGATAGTGTTCATCTTGGATATTGGTGCAAAAGTTCCAAATAGTTTATGGCATAGGTCTGTGTAAACCCCTTTGCAACTAATCTGGCCTTATACCTCTCAACAGAGCCATAACCATTATGTTTCACAATAAATACCCATCTACACCCAACCAATTTCTTCCCTTCAAGCTAATGAACTGACTCCCATGTATTGTTTTTGAGAAAGGCATCCATTTCTACCTTCATTGCCTCCTTCCACCCAAGTACCGACATGGCTTCCTGCATTGTCCTAGGGATGGAAATAGCAGCACTAGATGCCAAAAAAGACTTATAGGATGGAGACAAATGATCATAAGACAGAAACTGAGAAATACAATGTGCTGTAGATGAAGTACAACAACGCTTCCCTTTACGGATTGCAATTAGAAGATCAAGATCATCCAAAGGAGGAGAAGGCTCAACAATGAGAGGTATCTCATTTTTAGTGGGAGGTAAAAGGAGCTGAGGTACCTTGATTTGGAGCTGTAGAGGAAATTGAAGTTGGTTTGGACTACTGAGGATTGAAATCAACTTGCCTCCACTGCTTGTGAAACACCCTTATGTCCTTACAGTTTTGACAACCCTCCTCACTACACTCCCCTTCAGTGATTGGGATAGGTAATGGAATTTTTGATGTAGGAGAACCCATCTCACTCAATGATAGTAGGGTATATCCTCAAAGAATGTGACGTCCATAGAAATAAATCGTTTCCAAGAAATAGGTTCTTAGCACTAATATCCTTTTTGATTTTGTGCATACCCAAGAAATATACATTTGAAAGCTTTAGGATCAAATTTGGAGCGATGAGGCTTAAGAATCTGAGCAAAGCAAGTGCATCCAAAGGTCTTGAGGTGAATAGTAAACAAGTCCTTATCAGGATATAATAGGTTAAATGGAATTTTCATGTCTAGGACCCGTAAAGGAACTCAGTTGATGAGATAGATAGTTGTATGGATAGCATCCCCTAGAAATGTGTAGGAACATTGGAGTTTAGCATAATGCTTCTAGCCATCTTCAATATATGCATATTCTTCTTCTCAACAACCCCATTTTGCTGAGGTGTACGGGGATAGGTACTCTGATGAATAACCCCATGGTTAAGGAAATATGAAGCCAAATGTTTTGCAAAATACTCTTTAGCATTATTGGCTCTGAAAATTTTGATTTTGACTCCAAATTGGGTCAGAGCCATCTTATGGAAAGACTGGGTCAGGGTAGGAACCTCATTTTGAGAGTGCATAAGATAAACCCATGAGAAACGCATGCAGTCATCAACAAATAACAAAAAATATCTGTATCCCCCCATAGCAATAATGTGATATGGTCCCCAAACATCAATACACACAATTCAAAAGGAATAGTACTTCTTTTATTGCTCAAAGAATAGGTTGTTCTACAATGCTTTGCAAGTTCACAACTCTTACATTTTAAACTAGACATTTGGACTGGCTCAAACAAACTAGGAAATAAACTCTTCAAAGACCTAAATGACAAATGACCTAACCGATTATGCCAAAGCATAACCTGACTCATAGACTATGAAACAAATGACATCTCAACTTCTTTATCTTTCCCACGTGGATGCCCTCCAAGTAGGTAGATTCCATTCGTCTCACATCCAATCCCAATTACCTTCCTTGTCTCCAAATCCTGAAAAACACACTGATCAGGAAAAAAAGTCACTAAACAATTTTGATTTTTAGTGATGCTACTAACTGAAAGCAGGATAGTACTAAGTTTAGGAACATACAAAATTGAGGGCAAGGAGATGGCATCAGACAATCTAATGTCTCCTTTGCTAGAGATGGGAACAAGGGAGTCATCAACAATGGACACTTTTTCTCTGCCAAAGGATAAGTAATAAGTAGTAAACAGAGAGGATAAGCTTGTCACATGGTCAAAAGCACCTGAATCTATAACCCAACAAGGTTCATTGTTACCTGGAGTTGAAACATGATATGCTGAAGCCCTCATACTTGAATGAGCAAATGTTGAAGTAGGAGTAGCAGATATAATAGGTGGCTAAGATGAGGGTGTTGAAATGACAACTTCACTTTCCAACTGAGTCAGAGTAACTCGAACAATGGCTAAAGTGTCTAGGAATGGAAACAGGATGGGTTTGGGGCGGGGCACCCACTTCCCATCGGGGACGGGGAATCCCTGAATTTTCTCCGTTCCAATGCAACTACCTAAAAATACATCATATTGATATGGGAATTTGGGGTATATTAGGAATTGGGTTATGGCAATTTGGGAGTATTATAAAAATGAAATTATGGGATCCTAAGGTTTTAAAAATTTTGGGGCAACTAAGAAGTATTTTAGAAATTAATAATAAACCCATGAACATTTTACTAGTTTGCCATTGGGTTCAGGGAATTATATGCAAACCCCATCCTCGCCCCGTCCTCGATTCGGGGCAAGAATATTTTCCCTATCCCCCCGTTTGGGGCAAGGCGGGGCGGGGCCCCAGTTTTATGGGGGAAATTGCCATCCCTAAGAATGTCTAGGGATGTGACTCTTATGCTCGAGGAGGATGCACCATCAATAGTAATGGTCACATTGGCATTCCCCTTTTTGTTTCTGAGCTTTGCTAGGATTAGGTGTGGATATAACTTCCAACAAGTGTCCTTGGTATGCTTTGGCTTCTTGCAATGATCACAAACTAACTCCTTATCTTCCTTCTTTATGTCCCTTTCCTTGTCACCCCCAAACTTTGGTTTCACTATTGCTAAAGCAGATTCCATAGGCCAAAATTGCAACATAACCTTTCTCCTACTTTCTTCATTGTGCACTAGTAAAGAATAGGCCCGAGACAAGGTCACTCTCTTTAGTGAGGAGTTGTTGCCTCACAATATCATATTTTGAATTTAGACCAGCTAGGAATTCAAAAGCCCTATTGGTCTCAACCTGTTTTTCTATATGTTTTTGCATCCTTCTGACTTTCCCACTCAGTGGTTTTTAAGTGATTAATTTCATGCCATAAAGATTTCAAGGTAGAGATTCCTTGCTTGAGATTATTTACTTCACATTTCAGTTCATAGGCCCTAGCAACATTAAGTGGCTGAGAGTAGGTTTCCTTCATGACTTCCCAAATCCCCTTATCAGTTTTTGTCCACAAGTAGTTTCGGCTAATTTGAGGCTACATAGAGTTACACAGCCAAGTCATGATTAAATAGTTCTCCTGAATCCATTTGGCATATGATGCGTCTTCCTTGGCTGGTTTCTTTACATCCCCGTTCACATAGCCTAATTTCCCTCTGCCCTCAATGGCCATCATAGCTGGTAAGCCCATTCTAAGTAATTAGAACCATCAAATTTCACAGTGGTGATCTGAAAAGTGTTTTCAGTCATGTTTCCAGCCCCCAAAACACCTTCCCCTTGAGTCTTTAACTCAGTTCCTGCCATTTCTATAAAGAGGTTTATAAAAAAAACTCAGTTCTCTGCAAGAAACCACAAAAAACACCCTTTTCTATGCTGGAACAGATCTAGTAATCACCCAGAAATTATTGTGCTCCCCCCGAAATTACTAGAAGTCAATTGAGAATGCTGAAACTGGTCTAATATTCACCCAGAAAACCGTTAACAGTCAGAATACTAAGATTGAGAACAGAAAACTGATAGTAGGGTTAAGAAAACCCTAGAAAAAATTCTGAGAAATCAAAAAACTCTCAGCCGCTCCTTCCAAATAGGTCTAATCTATCTCTGATTGGTGTCGATCTCAAGGGAAAAACATAACTTACCCAGAAAAAGCTGATCGCCACTTCCAATCCCAGAATGAACCCTAATCTTGAACTTCTTCTCTGATTCTTCCTGATTACCAGACACTCTCCAAGACTCTACAAGCCCTTGGACATCTGCTGAACCCTTCTAGTAACCTCTTAGAATCAGCTGATGGATCAATCTTGCTAAACTTCCAAACCTAAGAAGTTCTCATGCAGTCGGCTGGATCAGACATACATGAGAAACCCCAGGTTGGTTCTGATACCAAGTTGTCTAATAAAGACTGCAATCAGTCCAATTTCTAGTGTAAATTCAGTAAGAAAAAGAACAGAAAATAGAAAGGGGGTCATGATAATGTTGCCACCCCCCCCCATCTATTTATATTAGTAATTTAAAAGCATAGGAAAGTTCCACTAGTGCCCCTACTGCTTACATAAACAAGCAGAAACTGATATAACTAACATAACTGACATACTAACAGCAAACATAAATAACATAAAGCAAGCATGCAGCAGAGGGGACCACAATAATCATTATTGCTCTACATCTCTACACAAGGAAAGAAAGAAAATAACCATTAAGGCTCTTGGAAGATACTGGCAGACCTGCTATGGGTTACAACTCCTTTAGCTGCCTGATCATCCATAAGAGAGAAAATAGCATTGCATGCACCTCTAAATTTAAAAGCTCCACTGCAAAGACATGCAGAAAGATTCTATGTCAATTTAAATAATAATTGTTTAAAGATGAAACAGATCTATATGAAAATTTGTATCGTTCACCTCTAATTAACTCCTCACCCCTTCTGAAAACATTCACATTTAAAAAATAGCTTCTTCCCAGCAATGTAGTTTAGAGATTCTGATGACAGAACTGGAGTTCTATGTATGAATGGGCTGATGCGTCCATGTGCATCTTTTATAGATGAAATATCAGCAGCATAATTCTCACTGTGTAATTGGTGCTTTGCCTCCATCTGTACTCAGAGGCCACCAAATAAGAAAAATAATTGTTTCTCTAATTGAGAGAAAATATGGACAATGACTCTGTATCAGAAGTGATTGCACAGAACCAGAAAGTGCATTTTTTAGTAATGTTAACCGATTTGATACTACAAGTAGAAACATGAAACTAAAAAAGTAACAAAGTCTTAAAGAGAAGTTGTATTTTTTGCTTCCATCGCACTTTATGGACACCATTAAGGAAATAGGGTTCACTTATGGGAAACAATGCAACGCTTACAGCAATGAAAGTTATGAACTCAATATGTCCTAATTGCAAAATTAATTAAGCATCACTTATTGTTAAATTAAAAAAAAAAAACTGATAAATTTATGGTTTCTTAGGTTATTAACCAACTCTGAACTATAAGCTAGTAGAAACTGGCTTAGAACGAGAAACTAGAGCCTTAGAAATAAGAAATGGAGAGTTAAGTATACATGTATAGTGCACAAAAACCTTTTTTCCCCTTTTCTCTTGTAGCCTGGGATATGTTTCCTTTTCTTAGTTCTTATGTTTGGTTCCTCACCAAGTCAGCAGATGTTATACTCATGATCTGTCACCTAAATATGATGAGGACATGGATGGGATGATACTGATATGGAATTTACACTAGAGGTATCTGATGCAATATGTCACCCTTATATATGCGGGTACCATAATTCAGTTTTTCCAAAAATGAAATTGACAGAAGATCTGTGTCATTCATTAGGAATTGGTACAATGGCTTGATGAGAATTAACCTGCTCCATAATCTATAGTTGTTACTATACAAAATTAAGGTTTCACTCTTGTCCTAGAGTTCATTACCTGATAATAGAGAAAAATAGATAGAAATAGAAAAAGGTGGAATTTTGTGCCTGTGTGACTCTAAAATTGTATCTCAAGTAATGAAAAATCTTTATGCAATTGATTGTGGATCTAAACACAACTCCGTGAGCTTGTCTTTCATTGCCAGTCCTAAGCCTAGATAAAGGAGAGAGGTTGTGTACAGCTGGCATTAGAACCTTTGCAAAACTGGCATGGCTTATGGATCTAAATCCACACCCGGGTTTTATAGGGTAGTTGTGTACTGGCCTATTATGATCCTTGTACCTAGACTACAGACAAAAAACACATGGACATTTAATAGGGACACTAAGAATCATAACCATATGGGACCTTGACCAAAAGTAACTTATCTGCAGCACCACAAACATGACCTAGAAAAGGTGGAGTTCCATTGCAACAGCCTGCTGGGTATGCATGGATGCACGTATCATATTCATTCAAAGCCAGAGAGATTTCCATCCCATTCCTTCTGAAAAATTAGCAAAGTAGGAGCTACTTCTCCAATTTCATATCAGTAACAAACACAAATTTAGGGTGCTTCCTTAGTAAATTTATGTGCGGAGAATGGGAATGCATCATCCCACAAGTTTTTCCTGCAAACTGGATAGCAAATTGCAGGGAAATTTACATTTCATAAACTCCTCGCCTGAACATGTGCAGGGATAAGCCTGCGTACATCTGTCCCTCCCCAGACCCTGCATTGGCGGGAGCCTCATGCATTGGGCTGCCCCTTTTAAACTCCTCCACCAATTGGTAGAGTATAAGACAACATGAAATAATGACAATTTTCTACAAGAGTTTCTCAAACAAGTAATGAAGGTCTTTGGCTAATTAACCAGGCTGCACATTTTGAAACTTCATAGGAAGATATACTGTTGACCAACGGTTTTGCCTAAACCAGGCAAATCTGAAGCTCAATGGCAACCTTGCTCTTTACGTGATTGATCTTTTTTTTTTCCCATTTACAAAAAGTAAAGAGGATTTTGTTAAATAAAGAAATACAGGGAACAACATTCAAGTTATAATTCTTAATGCATGACGGTATTTTTGACAACATTGTGGTAGCAAAGGACACTGGCAACTTTCAAGTTATAATTCTTACTGCTTCTAAGGACAGTCAAATATGATAGATATTTATTCAAGGCCAATGACAACTTTCTTTTGATTTGGAATCCCAAACAAGCTATCTATGTGCATCAGAAATTCACTTTGACCTCTTAGTTAGAGTTTATGCTTCTATAAATGTCACCCTAACATGATTATTATTATTATTATTATTTTATCTCAAGTAGCTAATGCGAGCTTCCAACTAACAAGAATAAATTTGTGAAGACAAGTCGCATATATCCTTTCATGATAACTGGGGGGGGGGGGGGGGGGCTGAAGGTGCATTTGTCAGAAGAAATTGCACGATCAACTGTATATTCACTTGTTTGCAACTCAATCTAAGCAAAACGATCACTATATGCAGTGAATAATGCACTTGGTATCTTTCTAAAGATTTTATTAACTTGTCAGTTCAATTTTGTTTTAGTTGTCCTAAAACGTTGATCAATTTGCAAAGAAATGTGAACCAAGTCGATGTGCAGAATGGATATTACCAAAATGAATTTGCAGCTAATTGCGACTTGAATAAATTTGTAGTGAATTTGCAGAATGGATATGTGAACTGGTTATTTAAGATAATAATAACACAATTATATATTCTCCGCGTATGCTATTTATTACATGCATTAAGTGTTGATGATGAAACCACCTAGATCACACCAAACTTTTTTTATCAGTAAACCAGACCATATTTAATGAAGAGGAATTGGAAAAAAAGCAGTGAACTGTCAAGGAAAAGAATCAAAGTAAATTGAAGGTAGCCTATCGGATGATGTGCTACATTAAACCTATAATGGTTCTCCATTACGCACCATATGCCGTCTTACTTTAGTTCTTCTCACTTCTTAAGAAAAGAAAATAACTTGTTTACAAATTTCTGTTGCTCAGTTCGACCCTTCTGATTAATAGGGTTTATAAGTAATTAACACAAGTTTCTTTTTCACTTCACAGTATTTATCAAGTAATTGGTCAAGTTCATCGCAGAAATAATTACCAATCAAGTGGGGTTTCGACGGACTTACAACTTTGGATACCGGAAAGAACTCAGGGGCACTCGAAAGGAAAAGGTCGGTCGGATCGATTCTTCTACTACAAGTCTGCCTGGTCTGTAGTTGGTGTTTGGTAAGCACGAGTTGTGCGCTTTGTAATATTCAACATAAGTGTGTGCGTTATCCGTGGATTGTGATGGATTCGTGGGTCCACGGGGCTACGAAGGACCTCAAGTCATGGCTTGAATTGAATGGCAGAGGTTTTCTGATTGGGGAATACGGAGCATGACTGATGTATACTAGAGAATGACTCCGTACTAAGTACGGAGTTAGTATTTTTTGATAATTTTTATTTTATATAAACAAAAAGTGTCTAACTTTTTATTATTATTTCTTTGTAATATTTACTTAATTAATAATTATTGTTATTATTTAAGGGTCTGTTTCATTGTGTTTCATTCGCAGGAATATATATATATATATATATATATATATATATATATATATATATATATATAAAAGATTAGCGAGACCTGTGTGATGCAGGAGAAAATTTGAAAGATTAAATAATTTTATTTATTATTAATTAATAAATAAATTAATAATCAAAATTTACTATTAATTAACTAAAAAGTATTCAAATTTATTGTTTATATTTAAAATTTTAATAATTGTATTATTCATTTAATGTTGATTTATAAAAATTAATTATTGTTAATTTAATATGAATAAATATATTTTTTAATAATTTTAATTTTATTAATCATTTATAATAATTTTAATAACTGTTATTATTTTCATTATTTTTAAATGAAATTTTGATTGACTTCAAATAAATAAAAATAATTGCAAAAGCTAACATTTTTATTAATTTCACTAATAATTAACAATTATATAGGAATGACAACGAGGTGGGGCACCCCATCCCTGACCCTACCCCCATCCCCAATGTTGGGCGGGTTCGAGGCAAAGCAATCAATCCCCGTCAACTAAATATTCAATTTGATGACAAAAATTATCAAAAGGATATACTGAGCATCAACCAAGGATTGAAGTATCGGTATTGAGTATTGTATCAGACAACTTAGATACAAATACGGATATGGATACGCTTTGGAAACGTATGGATATGAACGAAAAATATGAAAAAGTTGGATACACTAGGAAAACACATGCAAATTTCATAAATACATTAATAATACTAAATTCATGCTCAAATAGCCATAAATAATGTATAAATATATAAGAAATATATTTAATGGTGTACATAAAAATACATTATAATTAATAGCAGAATGCACAAATATCATACAATGCATAAATTAAGGGTCCAGGATGGACTTATTATATTTATCCTAATTATTATATCAATTATTTTATATTTTATTATTTTTACATTTTAACATTAACAAAAAAGTTAACAAAATATTAAATTCTCAAATATAAATTAAATTATCATTTAATAATTTATAAAAATATATAATTTTAAGTTAAAATATATAAGATTGGTTAAATTTTCTAAGATACATATCATATGCAAATTCATAATTTTTAATTATTAAAACAATTATTTCATTATTAAAATTTTTATTTGTATAGTTTGTTTTTGAAATTAAAAATCAATTTTGATAAATTCAAGTTAATATTGTATTCTTGAATATTTTGCAAACGGATTTTTATTTTTTGTAAATAATAAATATGTTGTCATTTAATGTAAATTAAAATATTAATTAATAATTATAAAAATATAAAAAATTTGTAAGATATATATCATGTGCAATTTTATAAATTTTAAGTAATAAGGCAATTATTCTACTATTAATATTTTATTTGTATCAATTTCTTGAGATTAAAATCATCTTTTGATGTAAATATATTTTTTTTGGGTACTCCTTTTGATGTAAATATATAATTGATAGATTATTTATTCCATTTGTTTATAAAATACTAATTTTAAATGTTATTTATTTTAATTTTTAATTGGGATTATTAAACATAAATATTGATTATTATTTGGATAGATATTAATAAAAATTGTGTTATTTCGTTAAATATTACAATACATGGCATGGCTAAGTGGTTTGACGGAGAGTTTAAGGCTTTTGGTGCCACACGAGTGGTGTTTCGGGTTCAAAACACACAATTAGCAATGATTGCACTTTTAATCAAAGACGCTACAATACGCCCTGTATTGGACATATCATATCGATATTTAAATCCTTGGTATCATCCATATGGTAAATTTCTAAAAGTACACTAAATTGTCTTTAATTTTTAAAAATATAATTTTATGAAAATTTTGGAAAATTTATTACATTTGTGTAATTTTGAAATTTTATTCAAACTTATTTTTAAATTGTTATTAAATAACTTATTTTTTTAAATGGTTTACTTGCAGAATTACACTAATTTATCTTATACTTTTCTAATATAAACTAATTAATCATTTTCTTTTTCCAATTTTATACTAATTTATCTTAATAATCTATGTAATTATTGGTTCAAATTACAGTTTTCACTTTTCCATACTCATTTATTTTTAATAGTTTTCAATAATTTACAATGAAAATTACATAATTTTCTAAAACCTATCAAATGTAATAAATTTTCCTAAAATTTCCAAAATATTCTAATAATTTTAAATAATTACTTAGTACATTGTAACTAAACTTTCAAAATTTTTCCAAAAGTACAATATTATATCTTTTAGTTTCCAAAATGTTATTTTATGAAAATTTTTGAAAAAATTATTACATTTGTGTAATTATGATGGTTTATTGAAAAATATTTTAATTTTTTATTAAATATTTAATTTTATTAAGTAGTTTACTAACAAAATTACACTAATTTATCTTTTATTTTCCTATACATTTATTAATAATTTCATTTTCCAACATTATAAAATTGTATTCCCCCATTGGCATTCAGTTATTAACTATAATAATAGTAATAACTAAAATTTTATACTTTTCGATAATTGTTAAATATAATTCTTAATTTTATAGAAATTAGTTAAAGATATTNTTTTCGATAATTGTTAAATATAATTCTTAATTTTATAGAAATTAGTTAAAGATATTTTAATTTCTATAAAATGTTGTTAATTAACATGGATATAATAGTATTTACCCAAAATACTTTAAAAAATCATGATGAGTTAATTAATAACAGTATTTAATAATTTTTGGTAATTTACTAACCATATTTATTAATTTTTGATAATAACACTATTTAATACTCACTGAGTATGGATTGGATTAAATATTAACTGTAACTATTTATTAATTAATATGAATATTTTAAATGAGAGAGTGGATATAGATTGGGGGGGAGATATTTTAGGAATTGATCGGAAGTGGAGTAGTATGAAACATTCCTAATGACTTAGAGGAGATCTATCTTAGGAGATAGATTGTAGGAATAATTTTAGGTAGTTGGGTTTGGAATGGTGATATGGCTTAATGGGAGTGGTGGGAAGGGGATAGGAGAGTCAACGAGAATGCAAAGTGGGGGTAATGGAAGGAGAGGCATGTTGATGTGGACCATCTTGTTATATATATATATATATATATATATAAAGTATGAATGGCCTCAAGAATATTTTTAGAATTTTCTAATGACAATATTTATCTCTCTATATTTAAGTTTAATGATAAAAAAATGAGGGCAAATAAGGTAATTGGTCTTGCTATTAAATGAGTTGAAAAGAGGTAATTTAAAGATATTCAATGCATTYARTTCTCTYYCATTAAATCCAACATTTAAGTTATTAACTTGCATTCATGTTCATTGAATCATATATTGAAGTCATTTTTATTTCTTCTCATCATTAAGTTCTATTAATTAAATCCATAATTAATAAATTAATAATTCCAATAACATAAAAGCTTATACCTTTAAAATCTACCTAGCAAAAATAGTGTTTTCATCTAAATGGTGGTAAGATATTAAATCATTTTGGATCAAATGGGTTAATTCATGCTGCCATGATTAAATAATAAAATTTAAAAATAGATAAAATGAAAAAATAGAAATTAAAAAAATTAAAAACATTTTTAACATACGTATTAAACAATAATAAGTATGTTAAATAAGAAACGTTTTTATTAATGGTGAAAATGGAATGTAAAATTTAAAACTAATTGGAAATAAAAATATTTTCCTATTCTCTCTCATTAAATCCTATATTTAAAATATATTTTTCTCATCAATAAATTCTTGTAATTAAATCCACAATATTAATTTTAATAGTATAAAAATAAATATTTTGAAAAGTAATTTGAAAACAAAAACATTTTCTTCCCTCCCGATGGTGGGCAAACAATTTGACCATTTGGGGTCAAATGGATTAGTAATAATTCCATAATTAAATAATAAAAAATTAAAATAAATAACTATGAAATGTAAGAAGTATTTTTATTAATGATGAAAATGGAGAGCCAATTTCAAAATCTATCTAGAAATGAAATGATGTCATAGTCAAATAATAAAATTTTTAATAATGGAAAATACAAAGAATCACAAAATAAAAAAAAAAAGATAAGAGAAAATTTTGGGTACATATCTAATGTTATATATTTATAAAAACAAAATATTGGGTACATCTCTAATATTTTACATTCATTATATTGAACAAAAATAAGTTTTATACATACGAAATAATTTTATCAATGATGGAAATGTAATACAAAATTTAGTTTCAACCTAGAAATCAAACAATTTTTATTTTTAGATGATGGGTTAGTGGTTTGAGTGAAAAAATATTTTATATAATGTAAATGAAATATATAGTTTAAAGGGAAAATTATAGTCAAAGTCGGTTGTACTTTTAAAATTAGTTGCAGGTTGGTCCAGAAACCAACGAAACTATGAAAACTAGCTCTACATTTCAAATTATAAAAACCCCGCTATGTCATCAGAGGCTTATGTGGCTATTGCCAACATGAGACTCTTACTCCATGTTGGACACAACAGAAAACCTATACCAAAAATAGGTTTTTGGTTTTTCTCGCACTCCGTTTGTCTCTCGATCTCCCTCCCTTCTCTCTCACTCTCACAGTCATCTCTTGACCTCCCGCTCCCTCTGTCTCTCCCACTCTCTCTACTTCAGTCTGTAGCCAAATCAAAACTTCTCTCTCTCTCTCTCTATTGTTCTTCCCCAATCTTTCTCATTCTTCTCCCTCACTCTCCCTCTTGGTCAAAATCTCCTTTTCCCTC